CATCGGGCTCCCTGCTCGGCAGGGAGTCTGCTTCTCCCTCTCCCACTCCCCCTGCTTGTGTTCCCTCTCTCACTGTGTCTTTCTCTGTCAAATAAATAAATAAAATCTTTAAAAAAAAAAAAAAAAAAAACTGGGTCTGAAATCTGCTAATTCAGGCCTTATGAGCCCAAATTACTAGGAGCTAATGTGGTCTTTCTTGCTTGGTTCTCTTTCACTGTTGTGGTCAGGCTTTCATGCAAAGACACCTCCAGGGAACAAATTAGGCTCCCTGGTTTCATTCTTTCACTTGTAGTTTAAGTTTCATTTTGTTAAATAATCCTACTAGTATCCTTGGGAACTGTTAAAATATGGCACTTAAATCCTAGAGCAGTGTTCATTGCAGTTTGCCCTTTGGCAGGTTATTCGAACCAAAGTTTCACTGTTTGTTTTCCAGGTTAGCTATTTTGTTTGCTATTTTTAGGAGTGATTTCTTCAGGATTGAATATATTTCCATAAAGTGTGTATTCAGCAAAGATGCCATGTAATTTCACTTCTACCCAGCATTAAATGACTACTGGTTTTAAATAATTGTAAAATTGCTGAATATTTTCCTGAGTACAAATATGAATATGATGATAATGTGGAATCTAACAGTTTCCTAGATGACTCCAATATCAGAGGGAATGAAGAAGCATTCTTCTTCCCACTGCAGAGGCAATCTCCTACCAAAGACTGGATCCTGCATCTTATGAAGGTGCTTGATTTAAACTAATACTTCTAAAATTAAAATACTTAAAAACATAATTGAAAAATCTGTGTAATTCAACCCACTAAAGTCATAGAATCTTTCAAATCCATTAAAATATACACAAAAATGAGAGTACCCCCTTCAAGCTCTATTACAAAGCTGTAATCATCAAGACAGTGTGGTACTGGCACAAAAACAGACATGTAGATCAATGGAACAGAACAGAGAACCCAGAAATTGACCTTCAACCCTACGATCAACTAATCTTTGACAAAGCAAGAAAGAATATCCAGTGGAAAAAAGACAGTCTCTTCAACAAATGGTGTTGGGAAAATTGGATAGCCACATGCAGAAGAACGAAACTGGACCATTTTCTTATACCATATACAAAAATAGACTCAAAATGGATGAAAGACCTAAATGTGAGACAGGAATCCATCAAAATCCTAGAGGAGAACCCAGGCAGTAACCTCTGTGACCTTGGTTGCAGCAACTTTTTGCTAGACACGTCTCCAAAGGGAAGGGAAACAAAGGCAAAAATGAACACTGGGACTTCATCAAGATAAAAAACTTCTACATGGCAAATGAAACAGTTGACAAACCCAAAAGACAACCAACAGAATGGGAGAACATATTTGCAAATGTCTATTCAGATAAAAGGCTAGTATCCAAAATCTATAAAGAACTTATCAAACTAAATACCAAAGAACTAAAAATCCAATCAAGAAATGGGCACAAGACATGAACAGACATTTCTCCAAAGAAGACAAATGGCCAACAGACACTTGAAAGAGTGTTCAACATCACTCGGCATCAGGGAAATACAAGTCAAAACCACAATGAGATACTACCTCACACCAGTCAGAATGACTAAAATTAACAAATCAGGAAATAACTAATGTTGGCTAGGATGCAGAGAAAGGGGAACCCTCCTACACTGTTGGTGGTAATGAAAGCTGGTTGTAGCCACTCTGGAATATAGTATGGGGGAGTTCTCAAAAAGTTGAAAATAGAGCTACCCTATGACCTAGCAATTGCACTACTAGATATCTACCCCAAGAATACAAATGTAGTGATCTGAAGGGGCACCTACACCCCAATGTTTATAGCATCAATGTCAACAATAGACGAATTATGGAAAGAGCCCAGATGTCCATCAACAGATGAATGGATAAAGATGTGGTGTATATATATATATATATATATATATGCACACACACAGTGGAATACTACTCAACCATCAGAAAAATGAAATCTTGCCATTTGCAACGATGTGGATGGAACTAGAGGATAAATAAAATAAGTCAGTCAGAGAAAAACAATTATCATATGATCTCTCTCATATGTGGAATTTAAGAAACAAAAGCATAGGATCATAGGGGAAGGGAGGGAAAAATAAAACAAGGTGAAATCAGAGAGGGAGGCAAACCATAATCATAAACTCTTAATCATAGGAAACAAAGTAAGGGTTGCTGGAGTGGAGGGGGCTTGAGGGATGGGGTAACTGGGTGATGGACATTAAGGAGGGAAGGGGTTTAGTGAGCACTGGATGTTATAGAAGACTGTTGAATCACTGAACTCTACCTCTGAAACTAATAATACACTATATGTTAATTAATTGAATTTAAATTAAAAAAATTTTTAAAAGACAGTGGAAAATGCTATCAAATTTGAGTGGGAAAGGATTTTAAATAGTAACTCTACATATAGTTAATCTATCAATCAAATTTGACAAAATAAATACATTTTCAAGATATAAGGACAAAGAAGATTTACAGATCATCCCTATCCACTATGAATAAATGATGCTTGGAATATTACAAAATAAGAAAAAAATGCGAGAGAAATAATACCATAAGACAAGAAGCATCCCAGTATCACAAGAAAGGATTGTGTACTGCATACTGCCAGCCTGGGAAAAGACCAAAATTCAAGATTTGATGTATAGTTTCTCCTGAACACATATCGCTTTCACACCATCCTAAAGGCAAAAAGTCGTAAGTTGGAACCATTGCACACTTTTGGTGAGACAATTATCTCTCAAGTTGTATCATTTTTTCAGTTCTTAACTGTCAGTTAATCACGGATGCTTTATGGATTGTACCTGGAGGACATATACGAAAGTGGCTTTTGATATTTTTACCCCCATAGGACATTTGTTTGGCTTCTGTCCCTTAAATGTTGCCAAGACATACTTTGATGCTTTCCTTTTTAATGACTCAGTTGTTGAAATCATAATTTGGCATGTAAATATTACTTGTGGAGCCAACATAGAAAGCTGTCTCCCTCCCTTTATGGCATCATTTTAATGCTGATTAATATTTTATCCACTATAATAATGAACTTCATTTACAGATGACATAAAATTCTGATAAATGATTATGTTGTTCACAGATTTTTAAGAGTTTGTCCACAAACTAGACAAAAAATCTGAAACTTTGATATTGTAGAGAACTGTGTTATATATTACTTTTGAGTTTAAAATACTCAGCCCATATGGAAAAGCAGTCAGCGTTTTCCCAACCACTTCTAAACATACTAACACTGAGGATGGAAACATGGCGAAATTAAAACAATAAGGTGAAGAAGGGCAAACTACAAGATTTGGTGTTTGCTTTAGTTAAAATTATACCAGTTAGGTGACAAAATACCTGGATGATCGATTTTTTTTAATAGTAATTTAAACAGATACATTGGCATTTTTTTTTTAAAGATTTATTTATTTATTTGAGAGAGAGAGAATGAGAGAGAGAGAATACATGAGAGGGGGGAGGGTTAGAGGGAGAAGCAGGCTCCTCGCCAAGCAGGGACCCCTGATGCGGGACTCGATCCCGGGACTCCAGGATCATGACCTGAGCCGAAGGCAGTCGCCCAACCAACTGAGCCACCCAGGCGCCCAGATACATTGGCATTTTAAAAACTAGGAGAGGCTTATGGTACCAGTGAAAACTTTAATAATTTTTTTTTTTTTTTTGACAATCAAAATTCTGGTTAGGCAGGTAAAATTTTTTCTGTACTCCTTAAGGGAATCCTAAATCGGAATCAGAGCAATGGGCCTACCAAGTTTATATCCTTTCTGCTATAGACAAAATATTCTCTTCCAAAGACTGTGACTGACTCTACTAATTACCAGTACAAATCTCTGGCAATAAATATTTGTCTCTAAGCATATGGACCTGAACTGTAAATAAAATCTTAATAAATGGGAAAGCTGTTGAAAGCACTTTGAGAGTTCAGATTGAAGCACTGGGAGAAGATGGTGGTGTATGGCCTGTATCGTTGGTGTTTTGCAGAAGCTTTTTAGTGAGGCCCAATTAATGGAAGATGAGGTGCATATCTCGATCTCAGCAATGAAGTTAATAAAATGTACAGCACAAAAGTCATTTAACACATACTATCCTCAGCAGTATAAGAGTCAAAAACTATGTGGATGGCAACTCTTACACCTCAGTCCTTCAACGTGGATGGTAACAAGAGGATAGAGGAGGTGTTGATTTCTCTGTTTCACTAGGGGCTGTGTGAGGTGGTGCACAGGCTACTAGTTCACCGAGTCTTCCAGGACCTCAGAGAAGAGACAGCTCATTTTCAACTTGGCATAATTAAAAGAAAGAAGAATTCACGGAAACTTTGGGACTTGAAAGTGGCGTGTCCTAGATTCTGTGGGTTTTTCTCCTATCTCTCCGGTTGTGCCTTTTAGTCTAGTTCCTCCTTTTTCATGTAGCCGTTAGATGGTGGCGTTCCTTAAAGCTCTCACTCTTCTCACTGCTTTCTCCCTAACTGATCTAATCAATGTCTATAGCTTTCATTACCATCTCTGCATTTAGTGACATTCAAATGTGCATCTCCAGATTAAGACTCCCATCAGATTCAACTCCTCGACTCAGATATCTCCAACGTGCTTCTGTGGAACATCTCCAAGATTTGATACATGATCATTCCTTCCAAGCCTAACCTTCACTAGTATTTTCTGGCTTAGAAAATGGCACCACTATCCAGTCAGCTGTTCAAGCCAAAAAGCACAGAATCATCCTTAGCTTCTCTACCTTTTTCTTGCCCCATATCCAATTTATCATAAAATTGTGTTCATTTTACCTCTAAAGAAACTCTAGAATCTTCATACCCACTGTCATAGCCTTGGTCTACTATGGTAGCCTCATGGGCGATTTCAACAAACTGTAATACTCACCTTTAACAATCCTGTATTTGTTCTCTACAACGAACCCAAAGTAAATTTGTTTTTCAAAATACACTCTGAAGTAAAAGAAGCCAATGAAAAGACTACATACTATATGATTCCAGCATTCTGAAAAAGGACTTTGGAGACTCTGAGAAGATCAATGTTTGCCAACGGCTAGCAGGAAGTAAGAATAAATAAGCAGAGCACAGGAGATTTTTTAGGGCAGGGAAACTATTCTGTGAAATGCAATATAATGGTGGACACACGTCATAAAACCCACAGAATGTATAACACCAAGCGTGAACTCTAACGTCAACTATGGCCTAAGGTGAGAATGACGTGTTGATGTTGGTTCATCAATTCTAACAAATATACCACTCTGGTGAGGGATTTTGAGAGTGGGGGAGGCTGCGCATATATGGAAGCAGCACATATATGACAAATCTCTGTGCTTTCCACTCAATTTCGCTGTGAATCTAAAACTACTCTAAAAAATAAAGTCTATTAAAAAAATCTTGTCTCTCCTCCTCAACTCCCGAAAATGCTTTATTGCCTTTCCAGTGTTACTAAAATAAATTGGAAGTCCTTAGCACAGACCCTCTCTACCTCTACACCTTCATCTCTTCTTGCTCCTTTCTCAGTCTTGCTCTCTGCTTTCCCTCCACATTAATCTCTTTCAGGTTTGAATGGTTTGTGCCTAGTCCTTCCTCAGGGCTTTGCCCCGCCTCTCCATCTTGCCTAATCAGCATCTACTCATCCTGTAAACCTGAACTCATTGTCATTTCCTGAAGGCTTCTCTGAGACCGGTATTTATCCTCCTGCTTTTGCCATATATTTCCTATAAAAACCCAAGTTTTTTTGGCTACTTCTGCTATGGCTTTCATATAAAAACCAGGCTAGCTCTCCAGAACCCTTATCACTTTTATATTTAAACATTCATAATAATAAGTACTCGTGATTGTTTATTAATATTGCCCTCACCCATTAGACTGTAAGCACCCTGAGATGGTGCTCCACCTGTTTTTGCTCACCACTGGGCCTAGTGCAGTGGTCAGAACAGAGAAGGATTTAGTAACTGTTTGTTGAAAGAATGAGAAGTGCCAAATGAGCTGTTGGTATATTGCCCACTGTTTTCTCTAGCTATTAGAGATTTGCAGTCACTGAAAGACCCATCACTCTCTCAGAAGAGGATATTTTGAACAATCATTTAAAAGTACCATCACGGTAGAAATGCTTTTTTAACCCTAAGCTTCTGTATTTCATGTGGTTACTCTATGGGTTCTTGTGATTCCAGATAGATAGCTGCTTTGTTCTTTAAGATATTTAGAGCTCAGGGTAAGCAGTATGAAAATGATTCCTTGACAGGGGTGATTATCCGATGTCAGAGCTTCATGCCATGCCCAGCCTTTTCTTTCAAGTCGGAAAATCCTCTCTGGATGGGTGGTCACTCAACAAAAGAAATGCTCTGTTCATTGCTCAGTAACAGATACAGAAATAAAATCACCATTTAGTCATGGGGCTGCCTTGGATTTCTCTGGAGAGTCCGCTTATGGTAGCCAGCACTGAAGCCAGATCACCATGAGGTCATCTGCTTTCGGATGCCCACTGCAGTTTGTTCCCATGTAGTGACTGCTGCGTATTTGCCCCGACCCCATTAATGAGCAAGTGAGACAAAGAAGCAGTTCCCTCACTTTCCAGGTAAGCAAAGCAATTTGTCTTAATTACAGTTAGCCTTTACTGAGTGGCTACCATGGGGGTCCTAACAGTTCTCTCACCCCAGTTTTAATGATAGGAATTGTGAATCAGCAGTGATTTCCACACAGGCAGCTAGCTATAGGTTTTAGGTTTTCAGTTCTCTGACATGTACTTTTTTCCCAATTGAAATACATACATACATACATACATACGTGTGTGTGCATATATATTCTTATATATGCATACATATATTTTCTAAATGGATGCTTTTCCTTCTTACAGTCAGTCCTTTCCCATGGTACTGTGGCCGACTGTGCTGTTGTCGGCAAGGAAGATCCTTTGAAAGGTCACGTGCCCTTAGCGCTCTGTGTGTTGAGAAAAGGTGAGAAATCTTTGTCCTTCCTGAGTGTTTGAGCCCTGAATGATTAACGAAGGTTAATTCAGTTCTTATCATCTGGACTTTCTCCCTAGATATAAATACAACAGAGGAACAAGTTTTGGAAGAGATTATAAACCATGTGAGACAGAGCATTGGCCCTGTGGCTGCTTTTCGAAATGCAGTGTTTGTCAAACAGTTACCCAAAACGAGGTCTGGCAAAATTCCCCGGTCGGCTCTGTCTGCCCTTGTCAATGGCAAGCCCTATAAGGTAAATTATCAAAAATGTTATATGCCAGGTTCTGAAATATTTCTCCCCCACTTCTTTGGCATTAACATTTTTTTAATGTTAAGGGGGAAGCTGCATAGCCACTCTCTAGGAATGAGGGTTGTGGAAACACAGATTAATTAACACCATATGCTTCGAGTACCAGTGTGTGGAAGTACTTTTACTATTAGTAAATACGTCAGTTAAATTCCAACAACTTGTGGGAACGCAATCTTACTGAATTAAAGATACAACTTCCTTCATTGTAGTCATTAATGTCTATTACTGAATGAGAAAGCAAACAATTGAGGCTGGTTATACATGCTTAAGCAGTTCTAACTGGTGCATATGCTAATTATGTCTCCTGTTCTGAGTGAAAATTATTTTGGCAAACATTAGGCTAATTCAAGTATATATATTCTTCGAATTTTGGTGCACTTTATATGTGCATAGATATACATGTCTTTAATCCTCAAGATCTAATAGAAAGTGAGGCAACAGTAAATAGTAGTTGTAAATACTAAAATATATATATATATATATTTCTAGAGAGGCACATAGAAAGGCTCATTAGAGGGATTCTAGAGAAATTCCACTTAGGACCTATAGTTTTGCTAACTGAACAGTTTATTACTCTGGAAGACTATATATACATTTTAAAATATTAAATTTGGAGTCCCCTTTTTTGAACATTTCTATATGCCTTTATAAGAAAATGGAGAATGCAGTATTGCAGGTAATTGTTTAATTATAGGGAGAGGGAAAGGGGTTCAAGGAAGAGCATTCACCTGACTCGTATTTTCTTTCCAGATAACACCTACAATTGAAGACCCCAGCATTTTTGGGCACATAGAAGAAGTGCTGAAGCAGTCATCATGACTTTTTTCCCTATTTTGAGTCAGTTTGAATCCATTTTCTAACTGGAGTCAGATTTTTGGAATTATTTCCCATAAATAAATATTTAAATAGAAATTACTTGCAAACTGAAATACGAATTGTAAAGCTTGGTCTAAAAAACAATACTTGAAGCCTAGTGAAAGACCTGTGCCTTCTGTTTGATTAGATCCAAAGAGCATCTTTTTCAGTTGCCTATAACATGGCTCCTTAAAGGTTGTCTAGCACTTTAAGAAAAATATATCTAATGTATGATTTTTAAAAACTGAACCCCCCAAATATTTTAATTGAAAGAGACACATTAATATAGAGCTACTTCCTGAAATGAGGAATCTCTAGCTTTGACCCAAAACCTAAAACTCAAGTTGAAGTCCGAAAATAATTATCATTTTTCTTACAGAAATTCTGAGTATTTTCTAATATTCTTGAGATGTCCCCATGCCCCGTTATTTTAAATGAAATTGATAACACGGGAGGTTTTAGGTAATCATCTAGACAGATGATTTTCTAGATAGGAGGATCTGTCTCGTCATACATTTCCTGAGGGAAGGTTGGATACCAGAGTACAGCTCTGCCTTCAGGCCATTTTTAGTGAAGGAAAATCACATGCCTGACAGATGCTAGAGGTCATTTAATCCGATCTCTTTGTCATGGAGATGAGAGCTGTTTGGAGTTCCTCCTCCTGTCTCAGGTTCTTAAACTGTACACTTAATGATTCCAGCTTCCTATCAAAACAAGCAAATGACACAGAAATGGGGTAAACTGACAAGGAAAGTTCTTAAGGAAGAAATGTAAAAGTTTTTACATTATGCTAAAGACCAGGAATTTTTAAGAAACCCCAAATCCAGATTTTTATGTGAAATCTCTAATTCTTAAATAATAATTCACTAAAAAAAAATATTGTGACCTCCAAACACATTTTTCCATTTAAACTTATAGAAAAGTATTGAGAAATTAAGAAAAGTAATTGAAAATGAGTCTTTGTTACTAAGCTTATGATAATGTGCCAGTTAGCCAGAGTAACTTGATAGAGTTAAATATGTGATTTACTTAGGATTACTTAGGATTCTACCTGATATCAGTTATCAAAGAATACATTTAAAGTAAAAAAATATACCATGCTCATTGAGTCTTTGATGGTGCTCAAAGTATTTCCCAATCTTTCAGTCCATCAGGAACATTATTTTTAAGAGTAGCTGTCCTAACGTAATAGTCTGGGCGCGAAATATACTTGAGAGATAACACGTAAGAGCTTATTTACTTGTTTCATAAAAATTACTTACAACCAGTGTAAGACATTCTGAAAATGATAGCTTTTTTTTTGGACCATAGGCTGTATAAATAAATGGCTTCTCAAAGGAAAGTCCTGTTTGCTTAAATTGGCTTCTTGGTTGTTTATACCTGAAAAAATATAGTCAGCTAACTGTTCTCTTTAGTTTTTTTAGTAGCCTGAATTAAACCAACTAGATAGATATTCAACTTATAATTTGAAGCTGTCGGGTTCCTTAAAAAGTGTCTTTTCTCTTGGGTACATTTTACTCATAATCACAACTGTAATCTTAACAAATAATAATATTTTCAATGTTTAAAATGTATTACCTTATTTTTTCATATAAGATTCAGTTAATTTGAAATGGCACATTCTTTAGCTCAATGCATATCATCGTTCATTTGCAAGGTGTAAACAAACGCATGTGTGAAAGGTACATCTGTGGGATCTCTTGCACATTTGTCCTGCAATCAATTCTGAAGGGGCACATTAGCAATCAGGCTTGAGTTATTTTCCAGTTGAGTGGGATTGGAAAACGGTGCATGAGGCTGGAGAAGAAATACTGTTACTTTCATTGATGAAAAGTAGGGCAAGAAAGATACACTTGAGTTGTCGATTGCCTAAAATTTGGGAGGAAAAAGAAAAGGAATTTTCTATTTCATACTTACCATAAAGCACTTTCACTAGATTGTACCTAAAATATTCTGGATTAAATATATCTTTAAAATAACAATATAATGTTACTAAAAATACAGTCATATTTAAATGTGCTGAAATAAAGTCTGCATGGCCTTCTTTTGATATTTCCATGTAAATTTTTACTGTAAGACATTGGAAAAATTTAAAGATGTTCTTTTAAAATCTATGGAAAAGTGTTTTCCAATTGAGTTATTTTGTTCAAGACAATACATTAAATATATAAAAATTAGACCTGCTTTACATTTCAAGAGCACTTTTATTTATATAAAATTGTATTTGAGAACAGGCTCTCATCATTACAAATGTGAAAATTCATAAAGTTAATAGATGGCCAGAAGGAAAACTACTGAGATTCTGAGCTTAAAAATCCAAATTAAATGGAGTTTAGAATCTGGCAGAAATTATATTATACGTTGAAGAGTATTTTATACTTTTTTTGAGGGAACAGGTAGATCTTTTTATCGCTCTACATTAGAGTCTATTATAAACGATTACTATTTCTTACCAGATGATCTCTAAAGGGGAGAAACTGATTATGTGATTAAGTCATGTATTGAGAGTAGATACAAATCATTTGTTATTATAATATCATAGTTTCTATATTACATTTCATTTCCTTAAGTCAAGATCCCCATGATCAGATGAGCTTAGAAAGCTCTTTCCCATTGTTTCTGCTCAGGCAACATTTCTAGAAAATTTAAAATCACCTTCATAAGCAAGTTTAGGGCTCCCTCTTGTGGCAGACTCACTATTGAAGATAAATATTAGATTGAGAGTCGCTAAAAGGACAATTTGCATTATGGTTCAAGTAAATTGTTAAACATTAGGTGACTAGAAAACAAAGATTAAACAGAGAACTGGAAGTATTTTTTTTTTTATTGACAATGGAAAGGGTTTCTGTTACCATTATCTTTCGACTGAATCTGTTAAACAAAAACAGACATCAAAACAAATGTAATGTACGTGCAAACATAGCAAATTAAATACAAAAAGGAAATTACTAATGACAGGTCTTGCGCTTCATAAGATCAAGCAGCAGAAAATCAGCAGTTAGATAAATGGTATTATTAAATAGGTTTTTACTTTGAAATCTCCCATATAAACAAAGAATAAACAACAGTAACACCACCAAATAAAGCCACAGGGAAGAGATTACTCTTCTATACTTTTATACACTATATATGTTAATCATTCTGTCTTTCATTTATTTCCTCTGATAAGACTGACTTCAGGGAAGTCGCAACAAGGCCATCTTGGCTAGAAGCTTATAACATTATACATGAGTCTGACTAATGCCCTGTTACATTGACAAAAGGGAAAGGTTTCTGGGTTTTGTTTTGTTTTTTTTTCAGTGGAAATGAGCCTCAGACTCCGCAGTGGTTGACATTCACTGAACAGTGCTGGCTGGCGGTTCAAGATATCTGATGAACATGTGGTTCTTAGTAGTTTTTTTTTCTTTTTTGACTTGGTCCACAGGTAACAAGAGAAGATAATGTTCATTCCTTATAAATTTTTTTAAAGAATTGCTTTTGACTCTTGTAAACAGTTTAGCTCTGTTTTGTATTGAAAAGGAGATCAAGCCATCACAGTGCTATTTCTAAAGATTTAGGACATCCCTGATTGCCTTTAAAGGACTATTTTTGGCTCCAGTTCCAGGTTAAATCATTCCTTTTTACATGATCAGAGGCAGGTTTTCAGCTTTAAGTATTGACAGACTTGAAGGAGAAACATATCGATTTGACTGTTACAATTCAAAAACTGTAAAAATGGTGGGATGGTAAAATACAAACAGTACTTGGGATTGTCAAATGTTTGCACTCGAGACTCCATGAACCATATATTTTATTTTTTAAAAAATCATATTTATATCCATTTACAGAAGACACATTTAAAAAGAAATACATACACAGTAATACATAAATGCGTAGTATATTACAATAAAACATGAAAAAACAAGTGGCTCCATTTCATAAAAGCATCTGTTGTACAGAATGTAGGATGTGGATGATGCTTATTATTCAAATGACTTAAGCATTTTCTTACAATTGTAGTAAACTAATCAAACTTAATATCTGACTCCCCCCAGATCACATTTTCAGCTTAATAAGTCATTACTTGGGGTTGTGTCCTTAGAATTCAGTCTTCACAAAGGTTTTCACTGTTCATCTTCTGAGATGGTAGTGCACTTTAGGTAGAGTAGACGGAAAAGACATCTAAAATATTTAATGCACAGCGTTAGTCTACCCACAGCTCCCAGCCTGGACAATCCCCCTCTGCCACTGTTGGTGATGTCCGTGCAGCCTGCCTACGTCTGCCCTGGGAGCCCGTGCCCAGAATGTCAGCTAGGATCTGACCGAGAGCTGTAGGTAATTAACATTTGCTCTTCTCCGATTTTGTGCAGGCCAACTTAATAAGTAACAAGATTTGCTCAAGTTTGTGGAAAGCATGGCGGTAAATAGAAACAAAGGTATTCACAGAAAATGTGAGCAATCCTTTTGAAAAATTTAGAGCTTGTTCATCAGTAAATTTGGTTGAGTTGACCTTTTCCATGGAAGAGAGTCATATTTGAGTTCATACCTTTTAGAGCTCTTAAAAAGACACCTTTGTTTAACTGTGACGAAAACATAATGGTAATAAATGACATATTTTAAGGGATCTGGATCAGTGATGTGGCATCACTGATTGTTTCCAGTGATAATATACTTAGGAAAAGCTCACAGTTTCTCTTCCCGACACAAATGAAACAATAAATGATATGTTCTGAATTCTTCTAATAACAAAAGTGCTAATAGAAATTGGTTGTCCTAGATTAGGTTATTGTAAATAAATATGTTTATCCCATTTAATGGTAAAAACTGGGAAATGTGAACTAGAGTGCCATGCACAAAATACAGACTGCAAATAGTTAAAGAGTAATTCTATCCATCAGTCAGGAACTAAGAAGCAAGCACTACTCAACATATTAAATAGTCATTTGTAAATTAGTGAAGTATTCAGTTCCTGGGGAAATTATCATGTAGAAGCTATTACAAACAGTATTTTGGAAAGCCTCTTATTTAGCCAAATCATTATATACTTTAGATCATGCCTAATTAGATGCCAAATTGTATACCATAATTAAATTTTTAATGTTAGGTTTTACATTCTGAAATTAAATCTCTTATCAGAAAGCTTTTTGTTTTATCAGCAGCTTCAAATACTGACCCAAATAAGGCAGCTACTAGCTCTCATATTAGGCCCCAAAGACCAACAATAAATTGCATGGAGCTTTTAGTTCAAGGCAATGAATAAACAGCACAAGATGAGCTGTTCCTCTGCCTATAACTGCTTCCTCTCCCCATCCCTGTGCACATATTGGGTTCTAAATATTGCTCTAAAAATTATTTTTCCAAAATATTAATTTATTATAAATGGTGAATATTTTGGTAAAACTCAGTTTTAGGTTAAAAAAGTTTCATGAGCACTTGACACTTATAATCCAGGAAACTACAGTCTTACCACCAAATGTTTTTCAGTCAAACTCCATTTTTATATGGACTTGAAAGTAGATTTCATCAGCTAAGTATTTCTCTAAATACAAATGCCTGCATCTTATGATGATATAATCAAGGTTTTAGTCCTATTTGCCATTCTTATAATTTCACTTTGTTCCTATGCTGTAAGCCCCAGCTACTTAAAACTCATATTTGTTTTCAACAAATATAAATCACAGCGATGAAAAACAACATGCGAAAAGTTCAAAATTGTCAGTTACCCTTTTGTTTTTAATAATAAACAACCTCTAAGTCATTTTCCTGTCTCTGCTATTTGACTCTGTGTACCAACTAGAATCAATCTCTGCTTACTTCAGCTTCCCCTGCATAAAATATTCACTTAGAAGTGTGTCATTCTGAAGGTGCCAAACTGTCCTCAGTAAAATGCTATGTGCATCCATATAAAATGCTGCTCAAAAGCAGGTGACGGTGGCTGGGGCTGTGACCTGCTGATGTTTAATGAGACAGTGCCAGGCCGCCAACAGTGGGATCTTACATCAGTCAAAGCAGGCAGATGGTGATCGGAAAGACCAGATTCAGAGCTACGATACTAAGACTTGTCTTCTACCCTCTAGCGATCCAAGAGGGTGATCTCCCTTCTGGACCGCTAGGCCATCCCAAAGAGTATCGTGTATATTTCCTACTCTATGTAGGTTCCACTTTGGGGTGGTTTGTCTTTTGTCAGCCGAGGAAAGCTACTCACAGCAAGTCAGTGCTGCCTCCTTTGTGTGGCTTGTCAACATGAGTATGTGCGAACAGTGGAGTTCTCTAACCTCTGCAGTCTTGATGAAGCAACTGCAAACGGAGAAAAGTGCTTTAGAGGAACTGGGATGATGGAGTACAGAATCTCAGATGAGAAAGATGATCCCCTGCGTAAAGGGATCCTGAACATATTAGTAGATCTTCTTTCTTTCAGACATAGGCCACTCACATCCCTTCCCACTAGACCAAGTTACTAATGAAAATTTATTCCAGTGTGATTCAACTGTGCTTTCGGGTTGTTGTATAGTCCTCCTTAGATGAAGACTGTAACAAAAGCAGCTCCCCACGGTGCTTCTGTTTTTGAAGCGAAGATTGCTCCTAGAGAATTCAGGATAGTGGATTTTTTTTCCCCTCCAAGTATTAAAGAGCTTCTTCACTAATTTTAATCACATTAGATTCCTCATGAATTTTGTTAGCATGTTCCATAATATCTACACGTGAGAAGACATGTAGATCAGAGATCACGGTTTATACTGGAACTAATTTTAAGGGCCATGAGAGCTATAACCTTGAACAGCAATAATGACTCTGGGCAATTGTCTTAATAAAGAGAGAGGGAATCTATTTTTTTTTAATGCCCCCCAAATAGAAATAACTTTGTGACTACTATTTCAAAGTGGTCTCTCCTTCAGAATGGCTGTTTTCCTTTGTGAAGTATGTAACACAAGTCTAATGTCCACAGAAGGAAATAATACTAATTGGGAAATTACTGTTGGCTTTGTGTTTGTTTAATTCTCTTCTCATAGTTGTGCTTGTTTATTTAAGGCCTTCTGCCTTGGTCAGAGGTGAAAAGATCTGATAAGTCTGGGTTTCTAAGACAAAATATAAAACACAATATTCAAACACGTAGGGTGACCACAGAGTTAATTTCCATCCACTAAGGACCATTAGTCCAAATCCAACCTCTAACTAAACAAATTCTTTACTTTGAGAATAGAAGAGTAAAGAAACACAAATCATGCAGATGAGTATTGTTCTTCCTAGATGTGGACATTAGCCAAAAATTGTCCTTTTTAGGATTTTCTAAATTCTTTTTAAAAATGTGAACGAGGTGCCATGGGTTCATGCATTAGCCGTTTACAAGAGTTTGGTTTTTGATGAAAGCAAAGTAAACTTCAAGCAGAGCAAACCAACTTAAGAGTTCCAGAAAGCTATGCAAGGTCAGAGAATGATACTAGCATTTGCTAAACTGGTATTTTTACTTTATAAGCAGAAATGCAAAACTACTATACCATCCGTTGTCATTTTCCTCGATTGCCCAGATGTTGTGGTTAACCTGAATCCAGCCGGTAATGTTTCTGAGGACCCAGGCATCATGCTGATTCCATGTACCTCACGGGGGGGAAACTGTCTTCTCCATGTTGACCCACGCCTGAAATTCTTGTCATCACTCTGCCAATATAGAATTATAATTTGATGTGATGATAACAAGTAAACTAGTCCAGGTACTTAAAAATGTGTGCTTAGAAACATGTAATATTAATGATTAATATTCAGTCTGTAAAGCATACATATGGAATATTGTGCTTTATTTTGAGATTTCTATGATTCCAAAATGATAACACAGGAGATTTGCAACAGAAATGTTTTTATAAAAATGTTCCTGTGACTTCAAATCTAAGGTTTGCTCTCTATAAAAGTAAACAGTTTTGAAAATCTAAAATAAAACCCCAAAAGTTTCTCTGAAAAGAATATTAGCTGTTCTTTGTTATACTGTAAGCCAACGCATTTTACTGTATGAGATGACATACTTAGTTTAAAAAGTGTTAGGCAAACTGCGTTTGACTCACAGACTTGAAGAACTACTTCTTGAATTTTACTTTTATGTAAAAAAGAGAAAGGGAAAAGCTATATTTGATATAGCCTGGATCATATGAAACACTACAGCCTATAGTCTATGTGAGAAACTCTAAATCTGTCATTCATCAGATTTCAGCTGATACTGAATTAACTTGTAGTTTACTGAAAAACCTGTGCAGCCTGGAAACCATCCTTTTAATAAATCCATGTGCTCCTTAGATGCCACTAAAAGCGTACTATAATTCTGGTTGCTGTTTTACAAGTGTAATTCTATATCATAATGATATACTCTCTTTCCTCTCTGTGCATACACAAAGTATCTCCTCGGATACAATGAACTTTCTCTAAATTCGTGAGGAATGCTATGTAACCGAGTGTCGAACTAGTAGTAGTCTTTATTAAACACAAATTATTCTTTGTGTCAAATTCTAAGAATATATTAATCATTCCACATAGATCTTATCTTCTCATACCATTAAGTTTCTTATCGAGGCAATGGCTGAGCATTCCCTGAAGTTACAGCTCAGTATGTGGGGTTGACCCTACCAGCTCAGGTGATTTCACTTTGGCTCAAATTATCACTGTTATAAAGGAGTAAAATTATAAGGTACTCTTCATCATAGATTGCTAATTGAATTGACATTCAGAGTCATTTTGGAAAAGAAGAAGATTTATGAAATTATATATATATATATTACATATATATAGTTTATATATATATATATATATAGTTCTACTAGAGTTCTTATTATCCAAATCTAAATTTTGTTTAGATTAGGTAGCCATTTTACACTTTAAGAGATGTCTGCTATTCCTTTCTCAGCTGCCAGGTTCTGCATGGTCCTACGCCTCCAAATGTTTATAAATAAAGAAAAGGAACAGAATTTCACAGTTGTGGCCTCTCTGATTTCTGGAATTTTGAAAGAGCTGCTGGATAAAGATAAATATTCTTCAGTTCTACTAAACACTGCATTACATTGTAGGGATATACAACTCCTATGATGCATGATTTAAGGACTGAAAAATAAGCAAGTTGTAGATTTAAATAATGATTCCTTTTGCTCTTTTAATACAGTGTTACTGCAGAAAGTTAATAGGACCTACAAGCGACAACATCAGAGGAAAAAGTTTCCATGAGGTGAGGTTAAAAGATACCCTCTTAACTGAAGTCAAAGTCTATAGAAGCACATGAGCACTTCTCAAATTCTTTTAGTGGAATCTGAATGTAATCAGCCCCAGAAACAAGTACACTCTGGTTCTGGGTAAGTTGTTTAGCTATTTTTGTTCACACTAAAAATAAATAAATAAATAAAAACAAAAAAAAAACAGGACAAAAGAGTTTGAGTAATAAATTCATGTGCCATGTTTTTAACAATAAGAAAAAGATGCAGTGTATTTTAAAGGCAGATAGTCACATTCCATTTAGACCTTTCTGCTTATTTTTTACTCTCAGAAAGCAACACTAACTCATATAGGCTTGTGTCTCTACCTGGCTTCTTTGGGTCAAGCCACATTTTAAAACATAGCAATAGGACAGATCTTTAATAATTTTTATTAAAATTCCTTTTGTAACTTTTAAGCAAGGAGAATAATTATGTTCAAAAGGATGTAGGTGTATGTAGACTATCTTTCTGATTCAACAATTAAGAATAAGGACAAAAGATTATCAAACAACTTATAAAATGAAAATCAGTTAAGTATTAACTGGGTTTTAAAAATATTAATCATTATCCTGATTGGACAGGAGTATGAATTTATAGGAAGTTAGCTCAGGTCAAGACTGTAGAGCTTATCTGTCTATAACCTCCTCTGCAAAAGAAAGCCTGGGTTTTATAAATCCAAGATCATCTGTCCTGCCTGTTTGAATGTGGAATAATTGCCTCATTTTAGGATTTGCTGGGCTCATTCACAAAATTTTTTTTTTTTTTTAATTCTATCTATTTGAGAGAGAGAGAGAGTGAGAGAGAGAGCGCAAGAGGGGGTAGGGTTAGAGGGAGAAGCAGACTCCCCGCCGAGCAG